ATATTGACACAACTCTTTTTCGCGATCCCGGTAGAAGCTTGATGTGATGCTACCAATTCGGATGCATCCTTTGGAAGGTGCAAATCTCTAATTAAAACATTTAACTCGCTTTGGTTAAACACTTCGGGCTCTCTGAAATCTGGTGTGAAATCTGCGTCATTTGGTTCTTTTGGGGTGGTAGGTATCGGTACATCTGACCCATGAGGAACTGGGCGAATAGCAGACTCAAGATTGGCATACAAAATTTGTTTCTTATTTTTTCTGTTGCATCCTTGAATGTCACACGAACAAACATAACAATCATCACTGTGATCGCCATGCGTTAGGTACACCAAAGCTTAAACATTTTTTCGTACCTTTTTGCAAACGGAACAAATAGTATGAGGAACTTGTCTTGGTCGCCAGTTTTTATACTAAAATAAGCGTGGTATACATTTTTCCCAAAAAAAGTTATGGTTTATATTTGCCTTACTACGACGTAACTCCCACAGATATAACCAAACTTATTTGGATTGTTCACACAATGCCTTCTTTCCATATTTATACGTTCTACAACACTAGAAATACGCAACAACAAAAGCAACAGCGGCGAACACAGCAGCATGATGACCAATACAACCAAAGCAGGTTACAACGCTATATTGACGCTTTTGCGCCAACTCTGTTGCTTTGCAGGGAAATCTAATATTATCCAGTGTTGCCCAATCACATTTAATTTTATAAAAATCAATTCATTTTAAAATCATGCTTAAGATGGAACAAACATATTCGTGTTATAGGCATGTATATTAATAAAATAACATTTTGAAGATATAGAGCGCTATAAAAAAAATGACGTGAGCAAAAATATCCCGTTTTTTGGAAAAGGTGCCCCCAAAAATATACAAATAAGCAAACAGAAACGTTATATAAGACATCGAGAATACTTCTTCTGGGGGAATTGTATAATAGTCCACATAGCTAATGATTTGGATAATATGGACTCTTTGTATCACTACTAAGTTATTTTAATTTCCTCACATTTTTACTAAAAATACACCCAAACAATAAGGCAAAATGGCTAACCAGCATAAAGCATAATGCCAAAAGTGAATTATTGAATGAAAGAAAAAAAAATGTAGTCATTTTCAGCTCACCGTCGGGATAATAGTGAAACTGTAAACTGAAAAGGAAGCTAGAAGAAGATGAAATGTCAATACCTCGCCCACCCCCATCCAATATTTGTAAAATGGAATTTAAGTATCACAAAATATACAAAAAAAGTGGAGATTTAAATACCGTCAGAAAATCCCAAAATATAGATCCGAAAACAGATGTATAATTTACTTAGATGAAATTTGGTTCGAAACACATGTACCGAAAGGATGGGTCGATTCCAGTAAATCCTGTTAGACCAAAGACCCTTTAAATAATTTAGGCTGAAATCAGAAGTGGGATTTATTCCAAACTGCCTGCTAAGAATGTTAAGGCATCTAGCTTTGATTATCATCAAAATACAAGTACAGGACTTTTTAAAATTTAATTTCAAAATTTTTTTAAAAAATATTGAAAGTTTAAAAAATGCAGTGCAGCATATGTTAATTTGGATACAAAAAGTAAAAGTGGGTAAAATATTTAGATTTTGAATCAAAAAGTACTTATTTAGGTAATTATTAATAATTTGTATATATTTTGCGTTCCTTCTATTAGAACTAAGGTGCTTCTATTATACCTAAATGAACATAATATAAGATTTAATATTTATGTTTCTAAAACACTGTCTTACAATACCCACTGCGCAGGTTGTTTTAACGTCCTCGGCAGACAGCCATATACTTTAAAACAAAGTGTTCATAATCCTATTAAATCATAATATTAACATTAAATTTTAACGACTCCCGTTACGAATTTAAAAATTCACGTTAATAACTAATACTGGTTAGACTATCGCAATGCTGCGTTGCAAACACTTGACTCGCATGGAACTGACTTAGACAATATTGTGTAAGTGGCAAAGAGCGTGAATTCTTCATCGACTGGTTCCTAGTCCTACCGCTTCGATAAAATTGCCGTAGTCACAGGCTTATTGGCATCTGGTTTTATCTCATCAAAAAATTGTAACGCACAAAAGGTTGTGTAAAAGTTACTGTGAAAGTAGCCACGAAATAGTTATTGAAAAGAAATATTTGACTACATGGAAGTTTAAATGAACATTAAATTCGGCGTAACGGTCAAGAAAGTTTATCAACGTGTTGGATACTATATTTTTTCTAGACCACTTAGTTTTTTGATACATTTTTGCAAAACAGCAAAAATACTTTCATTGAGCAACTAGTGACATGACCGTTAGAATTGACAAATGTCACAATATGCCCTAGTGTGTCCTGTGTCACGGATTTAGGAGCGATCAGATGTTTTCGGTGTTGGGGCTGGTGAATTGACCACTTCCTAATAGGTAGGTTCGACGTTTTTATTTTAACTGAAAGCGACGTATTTTGTTCTTAAAAACACGAAAAAAAAAGGGCAAAATATTCAAATCTACGCCCGCTGAAAACATTTAAAAATCCAGGGTCGGCGCGAGGCTAGAAAACGAAACCTTTGAGTGAGGCTAGAGCGCGTGACACCAGTAGCCAGACACCAGACGACGGGCTGACCGGCTGGCTTTACGATACACTTAATAATCAATGTCTTGTTTAGGTTGTCTAGTGTAAGCGATTACGGATTTTTTGTTAAATTCTGTAAACTTTATCGGGATTAAAAATGCCAAACAGAAAGTGGTGTTTTGTTCCAAAATGTAGAAATACGTCCAGTACAATACCAAAAAAAAATTCTGAGAGTATTCTATTCTAACAGCCCTTCTACAATGTAAACATTTTTGACGGAAGTCAGCGAGATGTCAAATTAGTATCTTGCACGCCAACTATGTACTGCTGCGAAGATCATTTCAACTCAGAATATGATATGGAAAACTACCTAGATTATAAGTTGAGTAACGTTCGAGCCCGGATAAAACCACATAAATTTGCATGTCAGCCGGACAGACGTTTAATCTTTACAAAACAGCAACTGTTCAACGTGAAAAGGGCAAGGGAGAAAGATATTCCGGCCCTCAACCGAAAAGATTACTCCAGGTTATGATAATATATTTAAGTGGTCGTTCTCCTAGTTCTCTTATTGAAAATATCATATAGTTCATATCACGAATCAAGCCAATTTTCGTTTCAAAGTAATTTCGATAAGCAATTTATTCAAAGCAGGGGTCCAAAAATCTTTTTTTTTATTGTGGACATGCCTAATAATTTTACTTGTAATTCTCGAACAAATCAAAATTAATTTTGATGAAAATTGACTAGGTTCCTAATATGAAGTATAGGTGTACGATGCCTCGTAGATTTCTTTTAGCCTATATTTGAAATAATATCCTGTATATCCATTGGCTTTAAACCATTGAAAGTAAATCTATGTTCTCATTAAGGCGAGATTCGCTTATTTTGGAATGGGAGAGACATTCTTCAGTTTTATTGCCTGATCGCTTAGCCAATGCAAGAGGGAACTTAGATTCGGCAAAAAATATATTACATTTTGTTGACTGCACTATGGCAGATCGTTTTTTTTCTTTGTCGTTACCGCATGCAAAACAGAATATTCAATGCAAAAAAAAAAACAGATAGCTTTCATAATTGTTACGACCCGGCGTACGTACCATGTTTTACGGTCAGAAATCTAACGAACTAAAATAAAGCGGAATTAAATTTTACCCATTAGTGCTAAACAAAAAAAAAGTGGATAGGAGATACGAAAAAAGTATCGTACAAAAGTTTCTTGGACTATCCTGAAGATTTAAAATATTATAATTTTGTTGATACAGGGTATTCCAAAAGCGTCCCCCGACATCCCTGAACACCCTGTATATTTCGACATTTTTTAAATCCTTTCTTAAAATAAAGGTCACTTTCTTAACAAATTCCTACTCGAATTTTGCATAGTTTAGGAAAAAATTGAGGTTATGTGTTTTTTTTTAAATATTTTGATTGCCCATATAAAATTGTGTTGTGACTCTACTGATACAGGTAAATTTAACCACAAACTAAGGATATAATACACTACTGCCGTTTTGGCGAATTGAATTAACAAAATCTCACCATATTTTTATTGAGCTATCAATTCTAACACAAAAAATAAGGTAAGTTAAGTTAAAAGAAGGTACTTTTTGAAATATTCGAGGTTCAAAATAATACCCGTGTAAATTCTTGTTGAATTTAAAGCTGCCAATATATGGCAATATAAGGTATTTTTCAAAATAGCAAAGACATGCGACTACTTCTTTTAAAGATGTAATACCCCAAATAAAACCTATTGCTATCAATTCAGGGTGCCTATTAATACGTGGAAATTTTGTAAAAAAATCGACTCTATACTACACACTTTAACATATTTAATTAATAAATCTTTAGAATTTATATTTAAAGAAACATTCAATAGTTATTTATCTAGCTTGTCTCATCGGACAGCAAAACAAGAAAGAAATATCAAAATATTTAAAATTGTAGTTGGCTATGACATCACAATCTTTTTTTTTAGGCGGATTAAGGTATAAACAAACTTTGACATTTCTGTTTGTTTTTGTTGTTTTTCATATTTCTATTTAAAAAGTATGGAGTATTAAAAAAATTTGACGGGTCAATTCCAAACACATTATAATGGATAAGAGCTAGGCAATAATAAACACACAAAAACTGATACAGGGTCGAAAATACTTTTGTCGTTATTAAATCGTAAGCAAACGCGAAACAATTCTCAGAATTTTAGGCAATGTAAGAAGTGTTAACACTAACACTTACAGGCGGATTAAATCGACGACGAAAAGGTAAAGCTTAAAACCCTGTCGCTCCTCATGTAGGCATCGGTAAACGCACCCTATGGTTTTATGACAACGGCTGAACTAGAGAGGTAAGGAGAAGGGGCCGGTCCACTGCACACTGTTACTTCGCCTTCGACGTGATAGCAAGGCAAGGAAACAGTTGACTAACGGCGAGTTGTGAGAGATCGTCTCAGCGCGCTAGATTCGTTCGTCGATTTACGCGCGCAAACTTAATCAAAATATGACTTGACTGAATCGGCAACAGGTTTTCCGACGATGGCTCTTCTGGAAAGAACATTACTTTTAGTGTTGGGTGGTTTGTTGTTATCGGTTGTTGACGGTGCCAAAAAAAATGTTACGATAATGAAGTGTTGTGGGTCGGATGAGACCCTGACCTACGACAACAAATGTCTCAAGAACGCGAGCGTGTCGTGGAAATTAACAATTCTTGTAAATAAAACACTCAACAATTTTAACAGACTACCTGCTACTTGGATAGTTAAAGAAAGTAGTCGGCCGCCGTGCTCTGAGCCGAAAATCGGTGATCTCGTAAGAAAAAACGTGATTCCCTTTATCAACGGGCGCATGTATAGTGTGGAATATAACGATCAAATTGATGCTGATCAGTATTGCATCGATTATAATTACGCGTTATTCTGTCACAATCCGAGTCCAGAACGCATTACGTATGTGTATGTTAAGAAGTGTTGCTTGGAAGGTGCGATTTTTTCCGAAACCAATTCTAGTTGTGTCGGAATGAACGATAAAAGTTATAAAATTGACGTAGGTCAGGAGAAAAACCTTAATTATGGCTTCCCTAATTGCGAAGACAATGCGATTGTCGTGGCGGGAAAACAACACGAATCGCAGATAATTAACAACGGCAGTTTATGGATGATGGACAGGAAGATTTTACTCAATCCTGGAAATTATTGCTTGGAACACATTCTTGAACATGCAGGTAGGGCTCAATTGTTATTCGGATGTTGCTATGTATGTTAATCTATTGTAAAGGGGTCATAACTGCTTTGATTAATCAATCGATAAAGAAGGCGATTATGAATTCGAATATCTTTTGTTCTACGGGTTTTTATCTAGTTGCATCAAAGTGGCTTTGCCAAATTATTCAAGGGAGAATAAAATGGCAATAAACATTTCTTCAATTTGTCAATCATAAAATCAAAATTGGGATCAAGACTAACTAGATTTTTTTTGGAAAGATATCAGAAAATTAAAATATAATTTTTTAGATAATAATAACTACGCACGAATAGGCAGTAATATGCATTAATATTTAGTTATTCTCACTAACGTAATGTAATGCCGTAGGTAAGCGTCTATTACAATACTGGGAATATGTTTTTTTTTTCATTCCATGCGTTTTAAAAAAATATTTATATATGTATTTACAACCTTTAACGTTAACATGCATGGTATTTAGAGTTTATGTTTGCTTAGCCTAAAAACCCGGTTGGAGTAGCAAAAGTTAGACATTAGTTAGATTAATAGACAAATATTTAAAAGGAAAACACGTATTAAAGAAGACACACTAGATATAATATTAATGAATGTAAAGAAAATACTAATCGAACAATTATTCAAGGGAGACTAGTATTAGGGGTTTGTTAACTGATTTATTCGGATGTAGTTTCGTTTGGGCTTTAATTATGTCATAAAAATTTTACTACAAAACACTAGTTTTAAAACATCATGTACGCATAATACATAAGTTCAAGAACGTTTTCCAGGCCAAGTTTAATTATAATACGTCAATGCCAAAATTTCAACTCAAACCGATGCTGAGACTTAAATGGTTCTTTTATAGAAAATAGAAATAGCCCTAATATTATTTTAAACTTTTTACATTTAAATAACAAAAAATAACATTATTTTTTGCACATTAGTTTATTTGTTGGTTACGAAAAGTCCTATAATTCAAGATTCAGGGTGATAAAGTTTATTTGTCAGTTTTTCTTGGGCAGTAAAAACTTAATGTGTGAGACAATGAAATAATCACCCTAATTTGCAATGAGCTAAGATAAGTTGGATATTTAAATATTAAGCAACGGACACAAAAATTGAAATGAAAAATAATAATCTAAATAATAAACAAGGATGAAAAAAATCCGGAATGTTCAGAAATTTCTAAGAAAAAATAAAAAACGTTTGTGTTGGCAACCACCTAGGAAATGTTTCTTTTGGGGGAATATAGGGAAATATGATAAAACATATAGGAAATCAAGCGAAGATCTGAGAACCATGGATACCATAATTTGGGCCGAAATTTAAAGGATCAGTAATACGATACCATAGGAGTATAAGATAAATTTTTCGTCAATTGGTAAAAATTCAGATGAAAATATAAAAAAACACGCCTTAAACAATATAAAATGTTTCAATCATTTGATCGGTACGTATTATAAAATTCAATAAAATAAAATTTACAACTTGTGTCGGATATAATATAGCAGTTATTATACCCATTATATGTCAACGTTACGGTATTCCAATAAGGCAATATAAGGGCAATAGCGGTGCTGTCATGAGCGCCCGGAACGAACAAACAACCTGAAGCAAACAAATTTCTAATTCATAAAATGTAATAAACGTGTGGGTGCCACATGTCTATAAAATTACCACCATTGTTTTAATCGTTAATCGTTAATCGAAAATATATCAAAAAAGTATTTAAAATAATTTTCGACAAAATCCAAAATCGTTAGAGAGGCGACTTTTTGAGCGAAACTTGTTCCATCTCGTTTTTTCTCTTGCTCCGGGCGCGACTTCCCTTTGAAATTCTTACATGAAGACAGGGGTCTAGTGGTATCCCATTTTAAAATTCCGTTTAGACGCTCTATTTTAGCATTTGCTTTTTTCTAATTGGTTAATAAGTACGTTTTGAAAATTTGAAAATTGATGTTTTTCAACTTTACCACCTTTACCAAAACTGCTTCAGGTTGATCAAAACGGTTTACATCTCTTTGACATAAATGTCAAACGTAAGGCACTTTCAATTAAAATTAAATTGACGCTTATATGAAAGCTTATTAGCTTTTGCAACTTCACCAATGTTAAAAAAATGACCATGAGCTCTATAGCTCGACTTTCCATTTAAGATTAGTACCCTATCCAGTTTAGCTTATTCGTTAGGTCCTCCTGAGAGTAGAGGAGGTGGATCAATTTTTGCTCAAACAGCTGTTCCTTCTACAAACACGTGCTTTTTGATTTTATTGTTCGTTTTTATTTTGAATTTCTAATTTTTTGTTATTCCCACGAAAGACTCCTCAACTAACCAGAACTAACTAAAACTAGCCATACCATAGTTTTATGTTTGATTGAAATTGATATTATTAAGAGAAACTATAGGCAATATAGATAGAAATATAAAGCATTAAAATTATTAAATGAGATAGAAAAAAATTATTATTGGTCAGTTTCTTCATACAAAAATTCGAATTTCAAAATATTGCGTACAAGGAAATACGGGAAATAATTAAGAAAATAGTACAGAAATATTTGGATAATACGACAAAATACTGAGAAAATAATAGGAAATATTTTGGGAATATTTCTCTATGGTGAAATATTTATCCAAATTTGGAGAGGTGGTTTTCGCCCTAGAAAAATACTGTACGTGGAACTGGTAAACTTTTAAATATACTTCTAAAAACTTTAACTACCAAAATATCAAAAAATTACTCCAACGTTTTCGCGGAAACATTCTAATCATTTCCCAGAAACCTTCTTCTCTTGCGGATTAAATTGGACCTGTTGTCATTGCCGACATCCGTATGGGATTATTCCGAGGATTATTCTTTGTTGATTGTTAGCCAACATGTATACCATACCTTCACGATAAATTATACAGCGCCATGTTAAAAAGAAAAGCTTCCCTGCTGCCAAGAATCATCCGAGTCCATTCGACCTAATTACCGTGCGATTCTTACTTAACACTCAAAAAGTTCGTTACTGATTTTAGAATTTAATGTGCAACCTTGGTAAAATTCATTGGCGGTATTGATGTGGCAAACACTCGGACAATCATTAATCTAACGCTATTGCCATCTTTTTAAATTTATTTTCTCGAAAATAGGTTGAATATTACCCAAACTTTTTCGTTATTATATACGAGCTCTAACAACTAAATATTCGGACGATGTAAAAAATGATAGAAAAGACATTTTTATATCTATTTCATTTTTTTTTTGCTTTGTCGATTGAATAATCAATTTACGCACATTACGATAGCATAGAAAGTGCTCTCGTAATGAATTATTTTTTATTTCGCATGAATTACATAGTAAAATAACGGAAACATACCACATTTGCTGACAAATAAATATTCGGACGCGAATCTTTATTGACCAAGAAATCAATGCTACCCATGCATTAATGGTAAAATGTAGTGTGCTTAGATAAATGAGATGTCAGTTCGGGTTGTATCTTTCAAGTTTGTATAATAGTTGTGGTGTTGCAACAAACAAAAAGGTGCTAGAAATTATCATATCTCAGTGCTGCAGAGGTAAATCAATGCAAAAAATTTCAAATGACTTGAGTATTGCAAAATCAACAGTCGGGGATATTATAAAAAAGTATGGAGAGACAGCTAGTGTTAGCGTTCGTGGTAAAAGTTCAAGCCGACCCCGTTAAAATCACTGAAAGAGATCGTAGTATTCTTGTCAAAATTTGTAAAACTAGCAGACGAAGCGTCTTACGACAAATTCAAGCCCAATGGAATCAAGAGGCAAACTTAAATGTCTCCAGGGAATGTTGTAGGCAATGGATGCATAAGTCTGGTTTCAGTTTTTGTAAGGTAAGTTTACAATTTTTCCTGTTTCATTATAAAAATTAATAATATTCTATGATCTACTTTTGTTAAAGGCAAAGGAAAACCCATTCTTAACGTCTATTCAGAAGATAAAACTTTTGGATTGGGCAAAATCTAAAATATCCTGGACAACGGAAACGTGGAGGAACGTTATCTTCAGCGACGAATCAAAATTTGATGTGTGTGTAGGCGATTTTCGAAAAAGATGATTCGTACAAAATCAGAAGCCTTTCACAAAGATTGTCTAAAGTACGGTAAAATTTCCCCAGGGTGTTATGATATGGGGGTGTATGAGTGGTAAAGGGGTTGGCAACTACGAGTTTATTGATGGTACTGTAAATGCAGAAAAATACGAACAAATTTTATCAAGATGTTTGATTCCATCAATAGAACGAACTTTTGGAAATGAAAATTTTATATTTCAACAAGACGGTGCGTCCTGCCATATTGCGAAAACAACAAAAAAGTGGTTTCCAGCATTAAAGGCAAAAATCACCGAAATTTGGAACACTTCCACCCCCGAATATTGCAAGACTTTGGTAGATTCCCTGCCAAAACGCATAAAAGCTGTTATTGCCGCGAAAGGTTAGATTTAAATGCGTCGGAATATTTATTTGCCAGCAAATTCGGTATGTTTTTGATATTTTGTTATGTAATTTCTGTGAAATAAAAAAATAATTAATTATGATAGCACTTTTTGGTATAAAAATAAGTGCGTGATTTCATTTTTCAATCGAAAAGGCAAAAAAAACAATTTAAAATAAGTATAACTATGTTTTCTTATTATTTCGTACATCGTCCGAACAATTAGTTGTTAGGGCTCGTAGGTACAATTTAGGTTTCACTTTTTCGAATGGTGAAATTTTTGTTTCCGAAAAACGTATCGTGCTACTGAACCTATTAACTCGGTACTACTTGAGGCTAAAAGTGCCAACGATTTAAAAAAGAAAATTTCACATTCTGTATCTTGATAACACATTTCAAGACATATATGAACCTCTATATGAACTGTTTTTATCAAAGATTAGACCAGGAATAGCCCTTATTATATAAATTTATAAAATTATAAAATTATATAAATATAGTTCAAGGTTTCAAAACGTTAAGTGCACTTGCCCACTGAAAACCCGTTTTGTTCAACACTGTTACATTTGAAATTCCTAAAACGCTCATTTTTAACAAAGCAGCGTTGGGAAAATGGTTTCGGTGTTATGACCCTGACTTCTTGTAACGAATCACCTGTTATGGTTTTAAATATTTTTTCGTGGCGCGACAAACACGATTACAGAATTATTCGTGTCATTTGTATGTCTTCATTATTTTGCTTTGTTTTATTTCAATTAACGGCCATCAATTCACTTCACATGTACACTGCAAAAACATGAACGGTCACCTAACATTTTGGCAACAGGTTTATTATTACGGGATTTGAATGAGCCCACTTAACAGTTGTTTTGAATTCACCCTGCATATCTTCCAACGTTTTACAATGTGACAAGATATGCCCACCAAGGCCGAAGTATTTTGACTACCTGTATAGTTCCACGACCTCGATAAAAGTAAACATTCCGTATTCAGACGTTGACGCTGTTGTAATACACTTCGGTCAAGACCAAAAGTCACTTGTAATTTTTTAAAGACAGAAAATCTGATAGTAACTCCATAGATCGAGAGATATCTCGAGATCGTAAAATTAAAGTTATTTCGGTCCGTTTAATGAATTTGAAAATCAAAAAATATATATATTTTTCAATTCCGCCGTTGTTTTCGTACAAAATAAACAATTGAAGGCTTGTCGCAAAAATGTGCATATTTTAACGCAACATATTTTCTATATTTTTGGAAAGAACAAAATCAGACATATATCCTATTTCTCTCCTCTTTCACCTCTACTCAAATAAGGCCTTATCGTTCATCACAGATTTAATAACGTTAGTCATAGTTTTATTGTTAATATTGTATATAATAATATATTTATATAAAACACAAAAATAAGTAATTAATTACTTTTAATTAAACTTCACCAAAAAGTTGGTAGACAGAGTATCATCATTGCCTAGATGCAACGATTCGAAATACTTAATCACGAATTGATTAATAAACATTGGCAACCGCGGTGGGTAAAAATAATCAGAGTTTTGCTAAATATTTCTATTTGACCTAAATTGGTTTCGGTGGCTAATCAATAATAGCAACTTATAACGGATACGTAATCGACCGAAAAAGTGAGCTAAGCAAAATTGAATTAGCTTTGATAGAACGCTTTATGGGTTGGTTTTAGATATTATTTTAAATGTAAGTTTTAGTTGATAGTTATAGTTATTTTTAACTGGCAATCGAATTTGGCAATTGTTGATCTATTGTTAGAGGTTGCACTTAATTTGGACATCGTTTATGCATTTTTATTTGTGGACGGAGTTGTCTAACACCTATACTTTAAAGTTTTCCACATAAGACTTAAGAAAACTTCACTAGGGACACTTAGAAGTTCAATGTTGTTCTTTATTCTTCCGACTATTTCCTGTTCTTTTAAGTTCCTTTTCAATGTTTTAGTATAATATTTTTAAAGTGTATGTGTATGTATGCGCCAGTTATATAAAAGGGTTATTCTTTCTTTCTTTATGATGTACATGTTACGATCAAGTCTCAAAAAATTTGTTAACTTAAATATTTGAGTAGATTTCTTTAGTTATCCTATATAAAAACTAAATTAGAACAACAAACAATGGTGATACTTTTTTTTTACTTAATAAATTTTTGGTAAAAATGATCTAGGTGAAAATATTAAAACCCTCGCCTCAAACAATATTAAATATATTAATCATTTATTCCCTACTTAAACTCCAACTTAATAAAATAACTTTTCTCTATGAGTATACCTCGGCATAATTTCCGATATTCCAATAAGAGCAATAGCGGCAATGTCGCAAATGTTCGAAACTGTTTTTACAAAAAGTAGACAAAGAGTAAAACGGAAAAACAATTTCTTTTTACCAATTCATAAATTGTCCACTACTCCCAATAATAAAAGAATAGTTTCTGTTTTCCACATCTGTGTAACATTGGCACCAATGTTATTATTCTATATGAAATTTCCTTATATAATTTAACATTTTAAGATTCTCTATAATATTCTAATTTAAAATTATACAGGGTGACCAAGCTAAAAGGTGTCGCAGAATTAAAAGAAATTTGTTCGTTAGGCAGACGACTTTTTTCATCACTCCTTGAAATTCTTATATGCAAAAGTTCAGTGGAGTGCTAACTCGTTTCGTTATTTAAAGTTCTTAAATAAGTACATTTGCACTATATTTGCCATTAATCCTTAAGAGCAGGCTATAAAGGGTGGTGGATCAATTTTTGCTTGAAAGTACCCTGGCAAACAAATGTTTTTTAATTTTGTGGACAAATTCTTCTCCAGTCTGAAATGTAACTAATCACATTTTTGCTGGGTAGTAGAAATGGCATAGTAACTCTCAACAAGTGTAATAAACGTCACTTTACCAATGAGTTTGATTTAGCATGAACGGAACTCTGCGGACCGAGTGCTTTTGAGGCAGCAGAAGTGTATTCACGGGTTCGACTCTCTATTTTCTATGTAATAAACGAAGAGATAAACAACATCGAAACCTTCATCCAGAAGAAACGCCCGTAGAATTTACCAATTAAGGAATTAAATATGTTACATTTGAGATCTAGAGGCTTAAATGTAACATAAAGGATAAAAAATATTGTAAAATTAATAAAACACCTGGTGAAAAACATTTTATTGCAGGTCATTTTCTGCATACAAAAAACGAGGTCTAAAAGGAAATGTAGGGAAATACGGGAATATATTTGGGTAGTAAGGGGAAATATAGGAAAATATGGCAAAATATGTGGGTAATACGAGGAAATATATGGAAATATTACCCCAAATTATGACGAGATAGTTTCACTTTTGTATGAGGTAGTTTCACTTTCGTATTTCAGGCCATTGGCGTTTGGTGGTAATATTTACAGCGTGAACAAACTCTAATAAAGTCGGTTAAATTAGTAGCATAGTATTGGTATTAGCATATTTTTTATTTCCGATTTATTAAAACAATTTTTTTAAGTAGAAAATTCAGTACATTTATCCACCATTCGATTGAAACCTTTTCTTCTAAGATCATTTATCTACTGCACCCTTTCAAATGACTCATTGTTTAATGAGTATTTAAAAAATTATACAAGATTTCTGGTTTCATTTGTTTAAATTGAGAAACATTTTGTTTGCTATGGAGAATTTGATAATAACATGAAACATTTGAAAAGATTTAGTTAAGCTGAATAACTTTTATCTATGTCTACAGAAAAAAAAAAGAAACTGACAACTGATAACAGAAACCTAAAGGACGCACGTTTCAATATAGTAATAAGTATTAGTGTTAGCGTTTCTGTGGAGTGAAATTAATTTTAAACATTTATAAATTATAAAAAGTAGTATGGTTGTTTATAGCTTGGTTTATAGATTTGTATCTAGAATTGGTATTCTAATTAGCAAAGGGAAAAACAAATATAACAAAAAAATACGGGAACATACATTATATATAGGAATATTTAATAAGTAAGTTATATCGAAATAAATACGAACTGATACTGCTCTGAGCTTTTATTGTTTACTAGTATAACTTCAAAAGTGAAATCTGTAAAAGTTCCGCTTTTCTCTAATGAACCCTAAGAAAAACCGGCAATGACAAAACAAGAATGAAACATGTATCGTTTTTGTTAATACAGGAAGATCACCCAGCGTCATTACCTGTCGCGAACATCTGCCATCAAAGCCGAATGTCAAGCCGACGATAAACCAAAGCGAAAACGACCTCCGATTTACAATATACCCGATCGGGTTAGCAATCAGCGCCATATTCTTAGCTGCCACATTGGCCGCTGGATCGCTGCTCCCTGCCAGTCACCACGTGTTGCATTGGCGATGTCAAACCAACCACGTGGCGTGTTTGCTTGTGGGAGATGTCTTATTATGTATAACGCACCTGTCGGGTAGACTGGAGTTTGCGCCTTGCTTCGCGATTGGTAAGTCAAATCTAGCGTCACTGCATGAAAATTGTCATATTGTTAACAATGTTAATTGGTGCTTAGAAGTGTATATTTTTGAGCCTGGAAACTTTCAGCGGAATTCATTTGATTAATGGCTTTCGAACATTACTGGTAGAGTTCTCCAGACCATATACCGTTTTTATAACCTTGGTTTTGACTTCGGGATGAGTTTAAGATCCTCCTGTTGTAAAGGGGAAGGGACCATTTTGTTCGGCACGTGTGGCACCAGGGCCGTATTTAAGATGTTAGCCGACAAGGACTGTGCTGTGCAGACTGTTGTATTTTAAGAGTAGAATTTAAAAGTAAGAATGTATTTTTCACTGCATGGACTAATAATTATCAAGGAAACTTTATACAAATCCGTCAGCTTTCAGTATTTGTATGCACTAAGTACCCAAGTACGGTTCTGGAACATCATTGTGGATTTGCCAATCTTTATATTGAGGGTTACAGAGTTAGACCTTCATAGAAATTTGCCAATGTCAAATACTGGATTATGTCGTAAAAACGGTATATCGTTTGGAGAACCCTAACACCGTCATTGGTAAACCCTAGAATTCTCGCGGAACATTTTTATTACGTCATTATCGCTACAGATGTTTTGATCAATTCTTCAAATATCAGTATTTTTCCTATACCAGTTTGTTATCAACAAAACAAAATATTATAACTTTTTTTTTTTCTAAATTTATATTGGTTTCTGTTGTCGATTAAGCTAATTACGTTTATGGATTGATATTATTTTTATCTGTAAAATAAGGTGCATTTCATTCTGTCAGCTCCTTCTCCGTATTCTACTTTTAGCACGTATAACGTTCCGCTATCTGTAATGTTTCTTTGAATATATGAAATATGAAACTAAAAGAACTTTGAACTTTCATTGTCTTTGTTTTTTTTAATTACACAACGTTTTCATCATTGTGCGACAGTGAAAGTTCAAAGTTCTTTTAGTTTGATAGTCCAACCATTGGTTAGTCGTGAGTATTTCCACTTTAATGTTAATATTTGCTATTGCTATGTTGCTCATGCTGTGCTTTGTTCTTCAAGTCATATTGAAGGACGTGGTTTTGAATCGTTAAGAATGGGAGTGTGTCTTTATCACATCTTTTCACACTTGGTTGAATAATACTAAAACAACTTTGCTCCAGTATACTGAGATAAAATACAATAAACCCATAAGCAATTGCAAAACAGGCTCAACGCTACTGCTTGGCCTATGTTCTTCCCAGGAAACAGTGGAAGACGCGCAAATTTAAAGAAGCCATCTTCATAGCAAATATTAACGTTTTCAGCAACCAACCGTGGAAATTCCCACTATCTGGGAACCATTAATAGTGCGCGCATCAGTGCTGGTGTCTGTCGTAGACAATTTCAAGATTACCATTAGCCTGTTTGTGGAATTAATTTATTTCACACTTTATAACAGACCATCTTCCGGAACGTTTTATAATCACGTAAAAATAAAGACAACAGAATGTTCTTTTGGTTTTCTGTGTCTGTGTTTTCACCTTCTGCAAATTTGAGATTATCGTTTTCAGGCAAGCATTCTTTTATTAAAGGATGTTATCGGGCTTTTTAGTTTCATATCATGTTTTTTTGGGATTCATTTAGAACATATTAAAATATAACAATATGAATTAGCTTTTTATCTTGCCCGAAGAAAATTGTGTTCTAATCACTTGGCCACTTTTTAAAACCCAACTGCCCGCTACTGAATTCGACTCCAAAATACGCCGAAAAACAAAAATTACACAAATATCCAAAGATTCTATTCTTGACCAAGAAATTAGCGGTCCTCCGTAGAATAAAATTATATTTTGTCGTGACCTAGAGAAAAGACAACTCACACGGTCGTTGGTTCGCGGTTGGCGTCGGACCACAAACCGTGTAACCGCTGCTTTACACTTTATTTATACATTTTATCGGAATGGTAGGCTCAATACTAGGTTCCAAATCTTTGTTCTCAATCAGTACCTAGTTGCTAACGAATTCGACAAATATTGGTATTCCGCAATTGTTTTTAAAAACGCCACAGATATTTGCATATTGGAATTTGCAAGTTTCTGGAATTTCATAAAGAAATTACTTTTTCATTAAGTCTTCCCTTGGTTGGTTATATACAAAATGCGTGTAGCTGTTATTTTACCTAACGGAATTGTTTCGTGTTCTTTTAGATCAGAACAATAAAATTAAACTTTCTTTGTGGAAAGTGGAGCAAGTGATTAACAACTAAATACAATTGTTTTAAGCGGTGAAATGTTGTCGAAATGGGTATGGTATGCTCGACATGTTGCGGAATTATTAAGCATTATTTTTTCCTCTCTGTGGTTTGTTTATAAACGAGGGCTCTTCAAAACAAATTGTGCGTTGTGCATTGCTAACGTGGGTAATCGTTTTAAATCACAGTTATACTCTAACGGACATGAAGTTTATAATTTAAGGAGAAATTTGTTCGTAACTGAATTATGATTGATCAACTTTATTATAGTCTATGTATGTATATTATTCAAATTATTTTAAAATATTTTAAGTCATCCAAACTGTGTTTTTATTTCTTTTTTGTCTCCCTGAAAAACAAAGACTACATACGAAGTAAACTCTTTTTCTATTCTATCGAGGCAGAATATGTTATAATTATTCGGTTTCTCGTCTAAAAGTTAGACCACTAATGTCTAGACGATAATTTATTGATCGAGATATTATTGTTTATTTATTTTATCTGAATTAAATACCGGAGATAGCATTCAATAAATATGGTACAAATTATAATCAATATTTATTTATACATTATAGGTCATTGACTCCATTCAAGCCACCGTTAAGAACTGGGAGATTTGTTACTTTTCGATAAATTAATCTAATCAGTTTATATTAAAAATATCAATCATTGTTGTGAATCGAAATCTTTTGCGCCGGAAAAAAAAACACATTTTATCGCTTTTGCGCATTTTACTCAACAAATACATTTCCTGTGCAAATATTCGTCATTATATGCATCATAGAAATCTACGTTAAAAACGTTAGTTGGCGTTTTCGTTTCTAAGCCATTGACCGACCTTCAGTTCCTTCGACGCGTGGCTTGAATACGAATAATGCAATACTAAATTGGTTATAATGAAGAAATTCCCCTTAATATATCTCTAGAAGTTTAATTGTGTGCAAATCCGTCATTTTTTTATTTTTAAGACAATCGATTAATTTTTCCAATGGTTTCCAAATCCAAATGTAGGATGACGTATGACCGTTTTTTTTATTTAAATTCTGAAAACGTAGGTTTTAACAAGATCTCCCAAAATCCCCTTTTGCAAAGGTGCAGACCTCAAAATTGAAATTGAAAATTACTATAGCACTCAGGTATTAGAAATTATGTAAAAACGGTAATTTTTTTATGCAAAAATCTGGATGGATAATTCAAATAAAAAATAAATATCCAAAAATTATTCTAGTTAAATTTCAATTTTTCTGTCAGTCAGTTCAGTTATTTATGAGATTTTGTAGAGAGAAACGTTCTAAATTTTTATTTAAATTAAAAGTTTTGTAATTGAACTACAGTCAATAGCCAGATCTGTTTCAATTTAAAACCATGCGAGGAACAGTATTTTAATGTATAGCAATAAAATATAAATAAATATAATAAATAGATTTTTTAAATTTTATAAAGTTTTGAGTATTGTTTTCAATAATGCTACAATAATATTCTCTTGTAGTTAAACCGCTCACCGCACGCTTCGCTCGTGTCAAATAAACTCGTGATTCAAATGCCGTTTACCGCACTTGTTGCATAATATACCATTAACGAAAGCATTTTTTTATTCCAAACTGACTTCCCTAGAGAAGAAAAAAGAAATATGACTAAACTGTCACATAACAGGCTAGGTTTTATTTAGAAGTGATCCCTATTTTCCATTTTAATAATAATTTATTTTAAGGATTAAATGGAGGTTTGTTTATAGTAAGGTAATATTTTCATAAATTATTATATTGAAGGAATATTTTTTCTTATAAAAATATTTTTAAGATCCACTAGCTTCTTTTGATCTTTTTGAACTGGGAAACCCTTGCGACGTAGACGGAAACACAAGAATAATGCTTTCGAAATTGATACTCCTAATTGATATTATCTAGAGTGTACAAAATTTACAACCAAAGACAAAATTTTTAAAGCTGTTTTTTGAAATAGGGCATTATCTCGCACCATTTTATGCTGGGATGCAAAGTTTAATTCTGCTTAGAATCGATATTGATGGGTGTTGAATGTGTTTGTGTTGAATTTAAATTATTTTATAATAAATTAGGTTACTTAGGAATTCCACGGCCAATTTACCAGATTTAATTTACGAATTTTCATATCTGAGACAAGCACTTTAGGGTTTCACAACTTATTCACACTGAGTTTGCTAATCTTCAGGCGCACTCCGAAGGTCTATTTCCCGATGAATAGCAGACTGTTATTTAGGTGTTACAATATGGAACAATAGGATTTTCACAAAATTTTGTTATTTGGTTAATCTAAAATAGAATAAAAATGTTTTCGACCTACAAATAAATCAGTTTTTTTTTTCACTTTTAAGACCTTAAAAACTATCCAATCTCTATAAACTACTCTAAAACGAGTAATTAATTATTGCATATTTTGAGAATCGAAAGCTAAATCAGAAATACCTCTGAACAATATTTATTTTCTCTTCATCGCTCGAAGCAAAAGTTGAAACTCTGAGCGCAATTTATAAAAAATATATATAATTACTATATATACAGCAATCAAAAATCTGTTCCTAGTAATGTCTTTAAATTTGCAATTTTTGTATAACTAATCCCCTCTAATATGCATCAAGTTCTTTATTAATACCTCTATTACGCTCTAATTCTCTACCTTAATGCCTCTAAAGTCTGCTAATTTCATTCCTTCCCTTTTTATTAAAAAAACCTTGGGTATACAAAAATATAAAAAATTGGTAGCTGGAGGATGAATATTA